GAGAGATTTACACGACGATGTAACATTTTAAAAACATATTTTTTAACAAATATATGAGGTCGATAAAAACTGAAAAAACAATGGAAATTACTTAATATTGAAAAATTTAATAAAACAAATTTTAAAGAATAAAAAGATAAATATACTTTTTTATTTATATACATTTTTTTATAACTTGATTATGGTTTATTATGATACTAAAATTTACAAATTTGATGATGATAATTATATAATTCTTTCCTGCTTTTGTCATTAAATGCAATTCTTTATGACGCGTACATTAAAAATTAAATGGTAAAATTTAGATTTGATATTAATATAGTATAATATCCGAAGCAACATTATCAGAGAAATAGATGTTATCAATTATAATAAGCAAAAAATTAATCCCGGTACGGTATTTATAAGTATAATAATTCATTCATAGTTTGCAAAGCAAACTTTTCACCGTTGACCCCTCCTCTCTCTCTCGTGCAATTATCTGCCGGTCTGTTTGCAGGTTTTATTTCACAGTACGAAATCTTAATCCCTAGCGTTTACGACTATCTAAAAGAATAAAACGATGGGAAAAGAGAGAAAAGAGGGAAAAGTAGGAAGAATCGGAATTATCCGCAAATGTACACGTGCATTGAAACGAGATGCGGCGCGGATAACGCAATTCTCCCCCCGTTTTGTCTGCGTTTCGTCGGGTAATCGAATTAGGTATTCTTTATGGGCTCCGCGGAAAACTTCGTTTGATAACGGTCGAAAACGCGCTGTGTACTCACCGTATAATCGAATACTACTCTCAACCTCGCCGAGGGAATTTTTGGCCGCGCATCGGTACGTTCCCACATCGTTTTTCTGCAGGTTCCGGATTGTAAGGACCATCCGAACCTCGAATGGCGACTTCGTCACCGCTTGGACCTCGTGTCTGACGCTAGATATTATCATCGCACCTAGAGATCAAAGCGGAAAATATATTCTCAATTATTCTGACTCCATCAAGTGGAAAATGGTACGTTGTCTTTCCTCACGTTTGTGTATTCAACGTTTCTATTGATCGATGCGCGATGATAAAAAATTATTTATTATAAAATTACAGACAGAAAGGCAGAGCGTTTTGTAGACAGAAATTAAAACTAAAAGTAGATGTTTTAGATATTTAAATATTATTATCTATATTTTCTTTCAATATTATTCTCCATTTCTCTTCTGTTGTCTTAATAGCGATCCATATATAATTGAGCGAAATTTAAAAGAACGTTATCATGTATTAATGTATATATATATATATATATATATATATATATAATAATCTAT